ATAAGATTTTAAATATAGGCCAGCCTTAAAACTCATTAGTAAGACCACATAGCATCTGTGTGGTGATCACTGTAAATTGCATGCTGGTTAGAAATGTAACGAGTGAGTGTGTGTGCTTTATTTGTTTGTTTAACTAATCAATTGTCTGGGTCATATAATTTCGTGTCAATTCTATTGCCAAACGATCCTTGCTTGTTACCTTAGCTCGTAGCTTACGCATAATAATTCTCTCTCTTTCAAGAGCTGACAAATCATCAAATTTTGTATTTCACCCGTGGCCAGGGAGAATACAAAATTTACATATTCAATTGGTAATATACACTGACATCAGCTTCTCGCTGGCCGAGTAGCTGATAAAAGTATAAACTATTGAAAGTCAAAGTCAGTTTTGATCAGGTGGACCTCGAATTCTCAGATCGAGTTCTTTTAAAACCTGAGCTAGAAATAAACCTGAATTAATTAATAATGATTAATTCCCTTACAACTGAGTAAATTATTACAGTGTTTATGTAGTATGTTAGACTAGTTTAAGTGTTTATGTAGTTAATAAAACCTTACTTGTATCACACTTGACGTGTTCATTGTTTACTCATAACCGGAGTCAATAATCATGCAGATTTACGTTACAAGCTTATAGAATTGTACAGTAAGAAAGTTATTTCCTTTAACCAGGAAATTAACGTTCTTAGAATTGACAAGACGGTTGACCCTGAGTGGTCAGCTAAATATCTACAGTGGATCTAAAATATTAATAATTAATCATAACTAGTTATGGTTAATTATTCATATTTCCTGTTGTGAGCTAAATTCGCTACATTTATCAAGATCAAAATCCACTTTTTGCTGGATATACACCATGTAAAAATTTTAAAGTAACCTTTTAATTAGTGCATGGATGCTTTGTTCTATTCTAAAATATTTGATTTTGTAACTGATATGTTTTATGTCTATTGTGTGAATGTGACAGGGTGATCTCACTATGGGATATGTGATTGTTGTCATATTTCTAAAAAATCTAAAATGCAAGTCTGTATTAAACTAAAAATGGATAGAAATCATGTCCTTCAGATGGAATAAAATCAACAGAATTAAATTCAATCTTGATGGCAACAAAGCATATGAGTGTAAATCACTCAGTATCTGCCTTTGAAATCGGCGTCGGATGCAATGCGGGAAGTGAGAAAATGTCCATCTTGACTGCACTTATTTCACTCCTTCCCTCACTCAAAGTCCCTTTCAAGGAAAATCTGTTTACTCTGCGGCCATATTTGCAATGCCTCCAGGCTGTTGAAGATCATTGAAGATCTGTGTCCACTGTTGATCAAGTTGATAGAATTCACGTTTTGTTGTTGTACAAGTTTACCTATGCTCTCCATCTTTTTAAACCACAGGTCGCCATCCAATTTATTTGGAAAACTGGAAGTGAAGACGAGGATTACCTTGTAAGTTTTAAAAACAATGAATGTGTATTTACTATCTTTGACGCACCAAAAAGAAAAGATGTGTCCACAACAGTGTAGATAATGTCTAAATGCAAATGATACTGAAATAACAAGATTATATCCACCTTATTTTTCCCGTAAGTGCGGGTGCGGCCATTTGTAAATTTTATGGGCCTGGCTTCTGGTGTCATCCACTTCCAGCTATTTTTAGCTTGTTTTGCTGCTTGATATTGCAAATTGGTATTGTATTACAGTTTTTCTCGATTGCTAACACACAATTCATGAAACATTTCACCATTTTCTCACAACTATAAACACAATCTCAAAACTATACACCAACTTGTGCAAACTTCAAACTTCCAGGTCAAAATCAAATAATTTAGTCAAAAACATGTTCTCTTTTGTCAGACTCAAACTTTGGCCTCAGATGATACACAAACCTGTCAGATACACAGACTATTTTCCTGACTAGAGAACACTAGTGAGATCAATTCAAAACACTGTTACAAAAACCTCCTTTTGGGAAATAGGAATCCTTTTGCTAGTCAATGTCTGTTAGAGTATACAACATAAATAGACGGATGCAGATACAGTAAAATTCAGCATTAAACTGTAAGAAAAGTTTACTTCCATTACACTACTGTAAAGAGATCTTACAGTAGATGAAAAGAGAAGAAGAGAAAAGTTCAAAAACCGAACAAAAGAATATACTGTAAACACACACTGGAATATACTGTCAGTTACTGTAAATAAATAAATTAATTAATTAATTCATTCATTCAGCATCCTCTGCCAAATTGCATTACAGTATTGGTAGTATCCTTATTTGTTATAGCAGTTTCTTCTGACAAAACACTTCTCTATCTCCCCTAGACAGTCATCTCTCAGTTTTGCAAAAATAGAGTACATGTAAAGACTACTTGGCTACAAATAAATCCAACAGTAATGAGTTTGAGGGTGTACTGTACAACATGTGCTACAGTATTTACTGTACATAGAATAATGAAAGTTCTCTCATCTGAAGTACTGCTGCTATGTACTGTAATTATATTGTATGTGTTTTTTGTAAGTAGTATTGAAACCTTGAAGATGAGCCTGTAGGCCAACTTCCCTCATGGTCAGTCCATGCAGAAGAACATGGTCAACTATAGTGCTTTGTATTTCAACAGGAACAAATGAAATTTGACCTCAACCTCTTCGTTTTTATTTTCCCCTCCAATTCCTCTTTGTCTCCCACTACCAGGATTCATTTTCCAAAACACATAATCAGCTGTGCTCTTGTTCATATCATCCTGAGATTCTGACCTGTGTGTCATCAGTTTTGCTACTTAATGTTCACACATGGATACATTTTTTTGATGCTTGAGTTACTTATATTGTGTGTTTGTGTTTTCTGAATGAGAACATGGTTAAACCTGTGCAAAATGATGGTGTTTTTGTGTAGAGTTTTGCAGAAAACACTGAGCAAATTGGAAAGTGTACAAACAGGTGAAATGTGTTAAACGTTTTGAGAAACGTGTCTTTGTTTTGAGAACTGTATGAATGGTTTGGAAAATTGGGCCAAATGAATCGGTTATAGTGTGTTAGCAATCGAGAAAAACTGTAATGTATTATCTTAATTATGAACATACTGGTTTGCAGGGTTGGGCAAAGATACATCAAAATGTATTTCAAAATAAAATACCAAATACCTTAATTTTAAGTGTCTCAAGATAAACTACAAATACAGCAGCCACACTAAGTATCAAAATAAACTACTGTATTTTAAAAATAATAAATACTTTTACAAGGGAGCATGACATTTCTTCGCAAAACTTCCACCAATTGGCTTATTTGATCTATCCCTTCACCATTACACTGACTCAGTTGATTAAGTAAACAATGTTTGATAGCAGCAGCTTTTCTCTTCCCGAGTCATGCAATAAATCAGAATCAGAATCAGAATGAGCTTTATTGCCAGGTATGTTTAAATCTGACATATGCAACCAGTTAACAGATCAAATATTCACATATCCCTGTAATCTCCCAGATGAAGGTCGGTTTTAAAGTAACCAACAGTTTAATGTTTAACAGTTTACAAATGAGTCATGATGGTATCCTAATTTAGTTACTTGGTGTTTGGCAACGAAGGGCCTACTTTACATCAGCAACACTGACTCAATGACAAACCAGTCATTCATAAGAAGACGAATAAGAAGATGGCACCTGTATTCAAAGCAAAGTTTCTAACTAATTAATCATTTGATTGTTAATCATAAATTTAATAATATATTATGTGTCAGGCAGTCATTCATGCAATGGTATGCAAAATCATGATCCTTCTAAATGACTACTTCAATTAGGGTACAATATTCAGCAATCAAATATTTATTTATCAAACATTGGACACCTATTTGGAAGTTGAAAACAAACATTTTAGCATTACAACAGTTATTAAATGATCAATATGTTTTGATTTGAAATGTAGCCAGAAATGTAATCATAAAGTAGCAACAGAACTGGTCAAGGAGTATTAACCCAACTCCAACCACTGAATCTATTGAGAGCCATAGAAGTATAGAGGACACACACATATACACTTATAATAAGTGCAATTGCACCAAGCACAGCACATTCTATTACTCATTCATCCATACTTTCTTTTCAACTCGTTCCAATAATTCCTGCCCACTAAAAGCTGCACAGATGTATTTGCTTACCCCGACAGGCATCGTCTATGTAAACAATTTAGAGAAAGTTCAGTCGACTCACACTTTAAATCATCACCACGATATGTATTGTCATGTCACCCAGCGCTAACATGCAGTAATGCTTTAAACACATTTGACAAGCTAGTTGATAAAAAAACAACAACAGTCGATTGACTATTAAAACTGATTGGCTAACAGTATTTTTTCCCTTTGTCAGTGCTCTTTTATTCTTTCATGTTAACTGAAGGCTAATCTGAATGATGCACTATTTTAACTTTAATCAACATGTACAATTGACCATGACATCGACACCTAATCTTATTCCAGAAAAATCGCTCACCCAATGCTGAATGGAGCTATATAGATGCAGCTCCATTCAGATGTTGGGGTTGGGGGAGGGGGTGTGTCTGAACTAAATCAGCACCCTGATAAAGAGGTTGACTGTATTATACAAGTATTTTGTATTTCAAATATTATTTTATATACAAGTATTTTAAATAGTGGCCATCCCTGCTGGTTTGTAGTGCAAACAGTTTTACCGTTTACTGCATGCTTTTATTCTTCTCGTTATTTCCCAACAGCGGCTATTGAACTGGAAGTCTCGCACATTCACAGAAAATGGCTTACTTCCACATTGAAAAATAAGATGGATAGATATCCAGCTGACTTACAGTTGAACACATTTTCTTTAGGCCGGCTATCCCTACAACCTCCCATTTGAAGTGGTCCTGATGAGTCTGGTGAAGGAATCTCCTAGCCTTCATATTATACAGCTGTTCGAGTGGTTTGAAGACCCAGAAACAATTAGTCTGGTTATGGAGTATCCTGAGCACTGTGAAACACTGCAGTGGTTCTTTGAGCTCAACAGTGGACGCTTAGAAGAGAACGTTGTGCAGACACTAATGGTTCAGATTGTCCGGTCTGCAAAGGAGTGTATAGACCATGGGGTTTACCACGGAGACATAAATTCGAAAAACATTCAATACAGCATCCTTGAAGATAAAGCTGATTGACTTTGGATGTGGACGACGAATCGGTGGTAAGTTTCCCTTTGGTCTTTGATTATTTTATTAGTGTTTTTGCACATATTATTGACTGACTCCTAAGTAGAAAAAGACTAGAAAACAAGGGCAGAGATAAAAAGCATCAAACCCCTAAAGTTTGGATTTTGGATCTTCTCCACTGAACGTGATTCACTGCTGAACCGTTTGCTCAACACTAAACATTTCTTGCTTACAGAACCAGAAATGTACCCAGATCCTGAAACCAGGATACCCTTACAAGAAAAAAGATGGACTCTCTCGGTTGTATTCTGGGCTCGATGATTCGATCAGCCCACATCCGTGTACCCGAAGGTGAGATATTGGCACTAACAACACAATGACAGTAACATTGTTTAAGCACATCTGTATAATTCCTCTGCAGAATCTCAGGAAATTTACACTGAATGCAGTCCACTAAACATTATTTGAATTATTAATTTCACTGTAGTTATTTTACACTACCTTCGATTAACTATATTGGAAAAAGCTATATTCATACATGTCAGCTATGTGGCCATGACTAACCAGCATTCTCCTTAAAATTCATAAAGAATGCCAGGAACTTTAATTGGTGCAGAAACATTAATCGCGTAAGCCAGCCCTGTCTTGAGGATATGTTAATGCACCAATGGTTATGAGAGTAGTCATCCTCAGGAACAGCAGAAGGAAATACAGCACAGGAGAAGTCACAGAGACTGTGGATGAGATTCAAACAATGGTTTAGATACAGTACCTAGTGAGCCAGGCAAGAAGAACACATAGAATGCCGAGAGAGACAAGACAAACACCACAGTATGATACCAGCTTAGAATCTAGCGGAGAAGAGGACATCTGGAGCAGGAATGTGCACAGATAGACCCCAAGTGGGTGCAAAACATCAGTGCCCCTTTTTGCTGACTTTTTTTTTTCATTTTATATTTTAGTTTTTATTTAAATTTGGCCCATGGCATCAGTTCTCTTAAATGCAGTTGTCAGGCACACACTTAAGTTCTAATTCAGTGAGTCTGCACAAGCCCCTGATTATCACTCTCTTTGACATAACCACAGTTAATGCACACAAATTGAGCACCCTGTGGCTCAATAAACAAGTTAATCTTTCTTAATGTAGGGCTCAAAGCTAAAGATTTTACATTACAGGCGGGCCAGTGGTTCAGATTTTTACTTGCCCTGCTAACATTTTCACTGGCCCTGCAACAGCAACAACAACAACAACAAAAAGTTATTGTTTCCGTTGTTTTGACTCATGTTATCTTGTATTTTATAAATAAGCTTAAATGACACCCAAATTTTAGATACCAGTTAAATTTTACAATTCTCGTTTTCAATTTCGATACCACAGCAAAAATTACGAGCCTGACAAATATACATTTTAAACATTATGGTCATTATAAACATTAAAGTTGTAAATGAGTAAACAGTCAGTAATAAATTAAAAACAAATAAACAAATTACAAGCAAAAGCAGAAATAAATAAATCAGTGCTGTCAAAATTAACGAATTAAAGTATGCGATACATTTTTTTTCAGTTTAACGTGTTCAAAATATTTAACACAATTACCGCAGGGGCGAAGCTACGGTTGACCACCCCACTCACAACTGCTGCTTTTTTCTTGACAATAATAGCGTTTATTTAGACGCCACATCAAACGGGAGTCTTTTTAGACGTACACTCCAACTTCACCTCAGCGCCAGGTGCTAGTCAAACGAGCATGGAAAAGGTACAGGGGACGAGGAGCTGAGATGAGATGTTGCCAGGGCAGGCCATATGTCAGTAAAAAACTATTTTCCTGTTTTCCTGTTCCTGTTATACTGTGCTCATCGTAGCATGTACTCTTCAACTGCACGCACAAATGCTGCAACACGCTGTATATCATTTCATATTAAAGCGCAGAAGAAACTATGAGCATGCTGTAATGTCGTAGTTATGTCATCAAAAAGTCATGAAGATTGTTTTAAGTTCACTTAAATTAAGTTGTATTTTTTTTAAAGTCTAATCAATGTTAAAATTATTAGCTCCCAATTATACTGTAATGTTTAATGGTTAGTTTCAATGGTAAAATATTAGACATAAAAAACAACAACAATTGCCTAGTAGTATTGGTATCAGTGATGCTTGCCTTCAGTCATAAAAAGATGCCATTAAACCAATATTAAATATTGTCTTTATGTTGTTTCTACATTAATTTGGAGATTTAATGTGAAATTATTGCAATATAAAAATATATTTAAAAACTTTCATGTTAGGTGTGATTAATCGCAATTAATTTCAGAAAAAAAATGTGTGATTTAATTGATTGACAGCACTAAAATAAATAGAACAAAGATAAAAATGAAAAAGTGTGATTTTTTTTATTATTATTTATATTATTATTATTTATATATATATTTTTTCATTTTTGATTCATATTAAGGACACAGACAGCTAGTAAATTAGGCTGCAGACACTTTAAGACAGTATGATGATACAAATCTGATTTCTTTCTTAATGGTTTATGTACACTGAAGATATAATCAACTTTTTTAAGCATACTCGCCAAGACAGGTATTTTGGCATAATTTTGTATGTATTTGTCCTTTAAAGAAAACACGAAAGAGAACTCAATTCAGTGTACTGAATTGAGTTATATTGTTTCTTGTACTTGAATGCTTCAAAATCGCTAGAATGGTCAAACTGACAAGGCTTAAAAATATATATGCAAATAGTAAACTTTCATGACGCAGCGGCTCATTCAGACCAGTGACAAACTACCTAGACACATGCCTACCTGAAATCACTTACTGTAGATGTGCATATTGTCTGAGGAGACTTTGATAAGGTTGATTTTTACTTCCTAGTTCTGTGTTTCATAGATGCTTCTGCACTCTTTTAACCACATTGCTTTTTTCTCTTTTTATTTTTATAATTTCTATTGCAGAAAGCAGAAGGTGGTGACAAGGAGGAAGTTTAAAATGGGTCTGATCCACGGACACCAGGTGATCCTCTGAGGTGACATGGCAAGATTGGCGTTGCTTCAAAGGTATCTGGTATCTCATCTCTGGCCACACACACAATTTGAGGCTTTGGAAGTCTTGGGTATGTTTTCAGAATGGTCTTGATAGATATTTTCATAAATTACACAAAACAAACATTGTATGTTAAAAGACAGGCCACTCATGTGTCCAGCAAGATTAGAATCCATCTCAGTCATCTCCCATTCAAAGTCAACATCCCAGTGTGATCCTGAAAATGTTAGTTTTGAATAATGCTGTATGCTTTCAAGAAGCTCCAAACAGGAACCTGATGGCCTTCATCACATCGGGATCATAGACAATATGTTGTATATTGGATATCTGTATATTGCGTCTTTTATAGTTTGCAATGGAACAAACCTGTCCCTTTTTCTTATCTCGATGATGGATGATTTCAAGTAAAGTTCCCTAAGTTTTGTATGTGTGCATATCAGGGGCATTCAGCATGCTCTGCATGCCCAAGCCATCTGAGAGAATAAGTTTGGGGACTGGCTAAATATTAACATTACTATAAACTCCCTTTTCATTTGAGATGTTCTATAATAAAATGTTGGCAATACATATGTAAATGTATGTATTGCTATGTCTTTAATTTGCGACAGAATTGCATATTAAGCAAATAAAGAGCGCTCCTTTTTTAATCACTGAAGTTGGCGGTCAGTTCAGTATAATACTATAGAAGAATAATGGTACATTTATTAAGAGTAGAATATAAAAATCCCCCGCCCCAGTGCTACCAGATCTGCCTCTGGTGCCACCATCTGTAGAATGTAGTGGCGCTGGTGCCACTGCTCAAAAATGTTAGTCTGGAGCCCTGCATATATTGCCCTATATCAGGAGTGATATTGCTATATACATTGTTACTCATAAGGCCATATATAATTTTCATATACATATGTTCTCTGAGTAAATAAAGATATAAGTTCATAACATATATAAATATGTAGATTTTTTTATATGTAGCAACCATGTCAACAATATATATATTTTATTTATATATACAACTTTGTTAGAACAACATATATACATACAAACATCATATATATCAACATATACTGTATGTTTGAGAAAACTTATCAAACTGAAAATTTGAAATATTTTGATTATTCTGTTTGTTTTCCCCATTTTTGATAAATCTTGCGTATGTGACATGTGTCTTCATATCTTTTAATATTTGTGTTTGTTTCTAATATAATTTGGCTAATTTGATTTATTTTCAGATATAAATAAGATTGCAGTTTTCTATTTTTGAACTGATGCTACTGTACAAGGGCAAATATTAGCGTAAAATATGAATAAAAGGTTAACTGGAGGCTTTCAGTTCAGTCCTAAAAACATCCATCCGAGCCCCTGCCAAGCAAGTCTGGTTGCCTGGCAACAGTTCTCTTTCTCTTCCTCTTATCATACCTCTGATGATGCTCTACACACTTTCCACTGCAAACCTGGTGATAATGCTTAGCACAGACTTTTAGCTTCCAAGTGTGTGTTTGTGTAATGTATGTGTGGCGCACCACTCGTGTGTTTGTGTCGTTCAGACCTGATGGGGTGGATGAGTTTTCGTAGACATGCTGTGTTAGCAAGGTGGTTGTGGTCCAGATTCAGTCAGTGTGGCAAAACTAACAGCCACCACAGATTATTCAAAGATAATTTCAGAGCCAGTGCAGTGGAGGATGAATTGCACTGCTTTATATAAAGCACAGCAGCTCTGCTTTAGTGTAGCAAACCAGAGTACTTGAACAAGGATACACAGCCAAACAATATATACAGTATATATATATATATATATTTTTTTTTTTAGCATTCTAATGTTATTTAATATAAATATATATATTTAAAAATTGTGCTATATGATGTCCTTTTTGATATGATGGAATTGTGTTGATAATGATAATTAGACAGTATTTTGCTGAGTGTGCTGGTACCTAAATGTACGTGTCTTTTACATGTATTTAAAAAAAAAATGTTATACATCTAATCAATAAATTCAATTAGAAAAATAAGACACTATAAGGCCGTTACCAATCAAATGAATATCAGTATCAACAAAGTCCATCTTTGCATTACAAATGTGCAACTGCACCTGAAGTGTTATACAGCTCAGAGGGGGCATGAATGCATTTACACTGCAATTGCATAAGTAATGCTATGAGATTGTATTAAAAATTTCATTTTGAATATAAATAAAGATTTTTTTATAGTTTAAATTTGAAACCACAGTAAAACTGCCAATAGGTGGCGGCAAGTCAGTCTTAATGGTGAGTCAATTGAATCTTTCATTCAATATGGCTGATTCATTCAGTAAATTACCGTCTTAATGAATAGGCTTTTGAATCATTCAATCAAACATATTCAACTTTTTTTAAGGTATTTAAAACTGTGAGAAAGTCGTTTTGAAGCTGTGGAGAACAGCAGCTCTCGCCAGCATTGTGTGATATTGGCGGTTCTGCAGCTTCAGATGCATCCACATGCTCACACACACACCTGCTTGGTTCTAATATGATAGTTTGGAGTGAGGGAATGGGCTTATACTATAGGACATCGTTTTTTTTCTGCCTCCTTTTTGCTGTAGCCTGCCCTTGTCTTCTCGGTTGGGTATGAACACTTGGCTTGAGCTGCAGATACAAACAGGAAGGCTCAGTAGTGCAAATTACATGCATTCTCAATAAGCATGTTGGGTGTCCAGATTTCTTTGTCTGCAGGTGGTGTGTGTGTTCCAGATGTGTTGATTGATCACGGTTGGATCCGCTTGGCAGAAGGGAAATGGGTAAAGAGAGAGTGAGGCCAGTGCATTGTGTGGTGCGGTGGATTTTTAAGGACAGCTGGCAACGACAGCGTAAGAAGAAGATGCCAGCGCAAAACTTTACTGTTTCCTCTCTCTCTCATTCTCTCTTTTCCTTCTCTTCTCTCCCTCCCTCTTTCTGTTGTTCAGGAAGTACAGACTGAATGAAATCCATTGACTGGCACTGGTCTGGTCTTCACTGCCTCGGCAACAGTTGTCAGGGTGAGGGGCCCAAGGACACCCCCGCTGAGAACCAAAGTGTATTAAACACAATCCAGAGCAAATCATGTGTAAACGGAAAACGACTCCAAAATAAACCCAGACCAGAGCTGTGGTGTGGTGTGGACCAATGGGTGTGCATTCAAAGGGCCTGGCCAGCTGCACAAGTTTACTTGTTGTCATGTTTGTTTATGAAGCTAAAAATGAAGGGTATCAAGGAAATGCCTAGTCACGCTTCAGGAAGTGCTTAAGAATGCACACAATCATAAGATTTTAGTGACAGTGAGGGGGTTGTGACTGTATTGGATGTTTTTTAAAAAAAATAGGGTTGATGGAGTCCAATTTGTATAACACATCAAGCAGAATCTGAAAAATAATGATTGTCAAACACACAAAAGTCCAGATGGATTATAATTTTTGCCTTGTTTCCTCAAAATCAGATTTTATAATTTTTTTTTTTGCATTTTTTGATGTGACTTTTGGATAAAGTTATGTTTAGATAAAAAAAACAATGCAGAAAAATGATTCTGACTGAACGTTGTTATGTGGTTGCTTGGGTGTTATGGGTGGTTGGATACTTACGTATGAGCCCACCCCAAGTATCTGTAATTGTATTTTTCAAACTTTTTTGAAACTTTATATTATATATATATATATATAATTAAAAAAATATTTTATATCTCTTTTCACTATAAATGTTGTTCCAGAGCAGTTTTACAGTTAACTTTAACATCACTAAAAATACACTACTGGTCAAAAGTAATAATTCATTAAATATTCTAAAATCTTAAAGGGGTCATATGCCCCGCCTTTCTGAAACATGTCGATTTTTACAAAGCTCATCATTCTGAAAAAGCGAGGTGTGCTGTGATTGGCCAGCTATGCAGTGCGTTATGATTGGCCGAATACCTCAAGCGTGTGACGGAAATGTTATGCCCCTACCATACTGTTATGATGCCCTGTCAGGCCGGAGCGATGATTCAAAAACATGAAAACCCATTATAAACGAGGCATTCGTTGCATCCAGTGGGGACATAATTATGGATTATAATGACTTATACTGTCTTTTTACGCGTTGCGTTGCATCGCGCCGCGTAAACATAAAACCATGTCTGCATTTGTGATCGGAGAAATGGCAAACAACAAGCCCTACTCTACACTGCCCAAAAACTCGCTTTAAATATATAAAACATAAAAACTCTTTAAATATAAAAAACGTACTTACAGTCTTTGAGTCAGAACAGCCGGCATTGTAGTCTACTCTACGAGGATCAGGAAACGTCCTTTCCATAAAATGTGCTGCACACATCTGAGGGCTAGAGTGAGCAGAGGTCGGGGGCTAGAGTGAGGAACGGCCAGAAGGCTAGCGTGAGCAGAGGCGGCGGGCTTGAGAATGGCACGGCCGGCGGATTCGTCGAAGGAGCGTCCGGAGGGCTTGCGGCAACAACATGTGACGACCCCGGGCTGGACTCCGCTTCATCCACGGTGAAAGCCGATCCGGCAATCCACAGTGCAAAATTGTTGTATTTCTTCAGCAACCAGCACGGTTCAGCTCTAGGCATGACAAAGCGGATATCGTCCTCTTTTGGAAGGCCAAACAAAGTAGTTTCGCTTTCACAACGAAACAGTGCCTTCACGACATGGCGGCGGCAAAAAGTTACGCCTTCTTTCTTTGTGTGAACATTTGGGCGGCGTTATACAAATCTTCCCACATAGTAGGTGTGGCTGACTCTTAACTTTTATAAAGAATATCTCTTTGGATTTGAGACTTTAGTCTTTGCAACTTTACAGATCTTCTTTATGCACCAAGAGCTTGTAACACTCCAAAGAGAAAGGAAAAATTGAAATCGCATAATATGACCCCTTTAATTATTTGGAATAATTTCGATTTTTAAAATGTTTTAATGTTTTTGAAAGAAGAGAGCATAAGAGACTGATTTCTAAGACATTCAAAAACTTAATTTAAAAAAAAAATAAAAAATCTCTCAATTTTTACACAGACACCCTTGAATCGTTTTGCATCCACCTTTGAATAATAATAATAAAAAAACTTCTCTGTGATATTATTGATGATTGTATTGCTTACCAGGATGATGATAGCCTAATAGTAATAGTGATGCTGACCTTAACAACATCACTAATAATTCATGTCCTCTGTGGGATTCTGCATGTGTGAAAGCAGTCAAGTATTAATGTTCTAGTTATATGTGTTTGTGTAAGTTATCAGCACAGTGCTATTTTCTCTTTCATCTGATGAATTCCATCTTTATAGTTCATCCTGTTTGCACATCAGCATGTTTTCTCTTATGCATGAGTGTGCTTAAAAAGTTGCTCACATATGTTTTTCTATTGTGGTGGGGACTTTCCATTCGACTTCTATTGTTTTTATACTGAGCTAATGATATTTTCTATCCCATAACCCCAAACTAACCCTCACACAAACCTTTTTGTACTTTTAGATTTTCAAGAAATGTAGCTTGTTTGTTAAGCCGGATGTCAGGTTTTACTATCCTTCACTATCCACATACACAACTCTACATAAACATACCTCTATTCTCATAGATGCACACAGCTCTCTCTCTGTAAACTCGCTCTTCTTTGGGAGTGTTTACTTCCACAGGATGGAGAGGCAGGTTTAGCATGTGGAAGCGTTCCGCTCAGCATAATGACTGCTAATTTCACAGCAAATAAGTCAACAGCGATTCCTTTGAATCACACACCATTTACGAGTGGCCACGAACAGACAGCATTCCTCTGACTGGAGCTAAAGCTGGAACTGTCTTCTTATCTATTGAACTGCCACTGAACTGTAGAGTCAAAGTATTTACCTCTAAACTGAACAGTCTGTTTCTGTATCTCACACACATGTAACACTGTCTTACTTTCTTCTCAGCTAATGAGACTTACCAGCCTGCTCTGAGCGCACACAAACACTACACACAGAATATCAGCAGATCTGTGTGTGGTAAACTGTATTCGACCTTGAATGCTTTCTCAGTTATGAAATGGACATCACAACGCACATCTGTCGCTCGTGATTTCACTGAAGACTTAAAATGACAACATTCAAATGTTAAACTATTAAAGCTTTCCTAAATATGTGTTTACAGCTTTGCAAAATAACAGGTTGTTATTTTTATCCCTAAAAATCCTTTCTGTTATTGCACTTAAACATATATTTATATTAACGTAATTGACCTATCGGTAAGCTCCTCCCCTCGTACACAGATGAGCTAATGGCAGTTGAGTATCAGCTACACGGGGATCGGAACTTGGACATTTTTAGGTTTCAGCACCATAGAGAAACATTGGAAGATCTGAAGCTTCATCAGTTTGATGGTGTTTATGCTACAAAAATGGAAAAACTATGTGCCTGGGGTACTTGTAACACTGATTACAGGTATCCTGAGAGGATGGGTAATGGGATTTGTTTTATTCCATTTCCTAAACCCAAACAAGACAGAGCAAAATGTCCCTAAGCATTCAACCCCAATCCCAATGAAGATGAAAACGTTCATTTTCTGGTTGTCATACTCTCATTAAGTTACAATTTTCATCTGCTCAAGCAGAACGTTAATGTCATCTTGTGCTTCAGCAAGGTATCTCTGGCTAAAACTAGCTAACGTTAAAGTTTGTGAGTCCATGCTAATGTACAAACCTAAATAGCTAACTGTTCTCATGTCATGTACAGTGTAGGTCAAAAACACATAAACGAAGGTCTACATTTCAGTGCGTCTCCATATTAAACTGGTTAAATGTAAATTATTTAATCTTACCCTGCGGTACATGAATTCTGGATGTTGTCATCTGCTATTGTGAAGACTGTAATGAGGCTTCTCCCGCTTGCATTGTGATCTGTAAACCCACACTTCGAAATTAATCTGGTTACCCACCATATTTATTTTACAATCTTTTATATACCCCTCCATGGCATATTTAAGTCCCACTTGAATGGTGGTCCTTCTGTGTCCAAAATTTATCAAACAAATCTTGGGACAAGGTTTTCACACTGACAGCTGTCACTGTAAGACAGTTAGCAACAAAGCAATCTTAGTTTGTTTGTCCGAGTTAGCAACAGTAACTAAGGGGAGCGGGGCTTACCGATAGGTCAGTTAAGTATACTCATTACATTTTTATGATGTCATACCCTCAGTTCCCTTTCAGTCGGTCACTCTCGACATCATGTCGGATGACCGACGAATTGGGATCTCGCTTAGAGAGATCAATCTACTTCGAGTGTAAACTAAACGAGACAATGCACATTGGCATGCGATTATTGCATCCAGCTGCCGCTGATCACAGAGTGAGTATAAGTAGGCAGCAGATGCAGCGCATATTCAGCTTTTCGCTTCGGAGCCGAGCGATCACATCGTTCTTCTTCTGACTACTCTATTGAGAGAAGAAGACTGAACGAGTTCAGCGCGCTCTTGGAGAGCTCTTCGTGTTGGTGGTACGGCGCTTCAGCGGTGGTGGTTTCCCGTGTCGAGTGGGTTGCACACATCAGGCTGCACCACCCCCTGTTTGTGTTGCAGATGATCATCTCCCCTGTGGACGAAGGTTACGGCGCGGTCTCTGGGTCGTGCGATGTCCACTATGGTGGTCCAGGATCGCCATTTCTGGCTGTGACTGGCTGACATGCGTGAGACGGACAAGACAAGATTCTTGAACGCCCCCGTGTCCCAGGTCGGCCTTTTCGGTGACCCGGTGGAGAACTTGCCCAGCAGTTCTCCGCTGACCAAAGCAGACTGAGGCCATCAGGTATATCCTGCCCCGGCATGCAGCTGCTGCCATCGCCGAGGGCGGCCCCTTGCCACCGCCCC